ATACCTCCAACCTCCCCCGGGATCTGGTCAAAGCTCTGCCGGAGGCGGGAGTTGAAGATCTCTCTGACAGGGGATTCTGCTAAACGTTCCCAACAGACCCTCACAATACGTTTGGGTCTGCAGAGTCTGTTCAGCCTCCTCCCCCGCCATCGGATCCAGCTCACCACCAGGTGGTGATCAGTTGACAGCTCCGCCCCTCTCTTCACCCGAGTGTCCAAGACATACGGCCGGAGATCAGATGAAACAACCACAAAGTCGATCATCGACCTCCGGCCTAGGGTGTCCTGGCTGATGCTGACTCAGCATCCATACAATAGTAATAATAAATAATTGGATAACATAGTATGGATGCTGAATCGACATCCATACAATTACTGTTTCACACTAGCACAAATTTAACAGCCATAGACAAGATGCATGAGAAATAGCACTTTCCTTCTCTCACACTCAGACGCAACCAAAGTAAATTATGTTAATGGTGCTAACAAGATTTAAAATGGAGACAGAACTATATCCTATATCCCATTGTGATATCATATTTCACTTTGTTATATTTTAAATTAAAGTCAAAATGAAAAAATAAAACCATCATGTATTAATGAAACCTTCTGGAAATGAAATATGATTGTATGTGTTTTTTTTCCCCATGTTTTTACTACCATTTAATAAAGTTTTGAGTTTTTTTTTTTTCTTTTTTTTTTACATCCATGAAATACAGTGGTGTGAAAAAGTATTTGCCCCCTTACTGATTTCTTATCTTTTTGCATGTTTGTCACACTGTAATGTTTCAGATCATCAAACAAATTTAAATATTAGTCAACGATAACACAAGTAAACACATCATGCAGTTTTTAAATGAAGGTTTTTATTATTAAGGGAAAACAAAATCCAAAACTACAAAGCCCTGTGTGAATAAGTGTTTCCCCCCCCTGTCAAAACATAACTTAACTCTGAGTAGACCAAAAGATCCTCAAAAGCTAGACATCATGCCGAGATCCAAAGAAATTCAAAACCAAATGAGAAAGAGAATAATTGAGCTCTATCAGTTTGGAAAAGGTTATAAAGCCATTTCTAAAGCTTTGGGACTGCAGCGAACCACAGTGAGAGCCATTATCCACAAATGGCGAAAACATGGAACAGTGGAGAACCTTCCCAGGAGTGGCCGGCCGACCAAAATTACCCCAAGAGCGCAGCGACAACTCATCCAAGAGGTCACAAAAGACCCCACAACAACATCCAAAGAACTGCAGGCCTCACTTGCCTCAGTTAAGGTGAGTGTTCATGACTCCACCATAAGAAAGAGACTGGGCAAAAATGGTTTGCATGGCAGAGTTCCAAGACGAAAACCACTGCTGAGCAAAAAGAACATAAAGGCTCGTCTCAGTTTTGCCAGAAAACATCTTGATGATCCCCAAGACTTTTGGGATAATACTCTGTGGACAGACGAGACAAAAGTTGAACTTTTTGGAAGGTGTGTGTCCCATTATGTGTGGCGTATATGTAACACCGCATTTCAGAAAAAGAACATCATACCAACAGTAAAATATGGTGGTGGTAGTGTGATGGTCTGGGGCTGTTTTGCTGCTTCAGGCCCTGGAAGACATGCTGTGATAAGTGGAACCATGAATTCTGCTGTGTACCAAAATATCCTGAAGGAGAATGTCCGGCCATCCGTTTGTGACCTCAAGCTGAAGCGAACTTGGGTTCTGCAGCAGGACAATGATCCAAAGCACACCAGCAAGTCCACTTCTGAATGGCTGAAGAAAAACAAAATGAAGACTTTGGAGTGGCCTAGTCAAAGTCCTGACCTGAATCCAATTGAGATGCTGTGGCATGACCTTAAAAAGGCAGTTCATGCCCGAAAACCTTCCAATGTGGCTGACTTACAACAATTCTGCCAAGATGAGTGGGCCAAAATTCCTCCACAGCGCTGTGGAAGACTCATGGCAAGTTATCGAAAACGCTTGATTGCAGTTGTTGCTGCTAAGGGTGGCCCAACCAGTTATTAGGTTTAGGGGGCAAACACTTGTTCACACAGGGCTTTGTAGTTTTGGATTTTGTTTTCCCTTAATAATAAAAACCTTCATTTAAAAACTGCATGATGTGTTTACTTGTGTTATCGTTGACTAATATTTAAATTTGTTTGATGATCTGAAACATTACAGTGTGACAAACATGCAAAAAGATAAGAAATCAGTAAGGGGGCAAATACTTTTTCACACCACTGTATTTTGTTTTGATTGGTTTTTAAACTTCACTTTTCTGGAAATGCCACAGACAAGCTTAGCTACCATTATACAGTGTCTTTGTGTTTGACACAGTCAGATGTAGTGGAAATAACTACACTTATGAAAATTTAATATCAGTATTCAAATATCTCGTTAGATTAGTACACAAGATGGTTATAGTTCCATCACACTATTGAACAGTTTGTTAATCAGAGTAATTACTTCAGTCTACATCTGAAAGCAGTGAATTCCACCAGTTCAGGGACCCAACTGAAAAAGGGGAAAGAGATTCCACGTGGCCAGGAGGAGAGAAGCGTGGTCTGGGGCCTCTCTGGGTCAGAGTTGAGCAGGGTCCAGAGAACCGAGATGGTCTGGAGCTGAAGACTCGGGACAAATCTGTCGTCAAATCTGTTACTTTAGGAGTGGAGCTGCTTCTCAGTGGGTGGCCGGTTCTCCCTCCGGGATACTGGCTTCATCAGGTCCTTTTGATGTCCACATCTGGTTGGTTTGCAAAGGGGTAGTTTGCATGTAGCTGTCTTCAACTGGTCCTCGCTGCCTAGAATTAAGGTCTAATGTATTAATTATAAATATTCTGAGTTCCTCGGATAAAACATCGTTGCTTTGAACTTGTGGACACTACACAGATGTTTTGTGTGTCCTGTGCTAGGACAGGCACTGGGAGTAACTGATGTCGGTCCAGAGGTGGTGGCACTGGTTTCTCATGCTACTCAGGAGTATCTCCGTGGACTGCTGGAGAAGCTCACAGTGATGGCAGAACACCGCAAGGCAGCCCTGAAGGTAAAAAAGTCTGACCCTGACCCAAAGTGGTGGCAATGGATACCTTTTTTATTGCCCTAGGAAGAATTGATGTGTTTATTCACACTAAGAAAAAAATATCAGAGCAGTCATGAACATACATGTGTTATACCACAGTTCTTTTACTGGACAGATCTGAGTAAAAAGGAGTCTGT